GTGCAGTGTTATGCGCGGGAAGAGGGGCAGTGTTATGCGAATCGTCAACTTTGTCCGCCGGTGGAGGTGACGCAAAGCGGGCGCGAAGCTGCTCGAGCGACTGAACAGGCACCATGTCGAGGTCGGCTTGGAGTTGATAGGACAGGATACACAGCTGACGATACAGCTCTGATTTTGCTTCATCGTCCGGGCCGTCAGGATCGACTTCCTTAGTCTTGTTCTTGGCTGCTGAGCGCTTGCCTCTGGCGGGCGCGCGATCGGCGGACGGACGGACGGCTCTGCCGCCGGAGCGAGTGCGTCGGTCGGTCTCCTTTGCATTCATGACGAGGTTCTCGAGGTAGGGCGAGAAGCCAAAGAGCGCCAGATTGGGGGCGGAGCTGTTGTCGGACGCGGTTGCGATGACGGCTTTTGCCACGCGTGCCGATCTTCTGCGGTCGCTCGCGTCGATGCTGGGAAGTGCCAACACGGCGGCTGTGAGTGTTGCAGCAGAATTGCGTTCTCGTCTGCGACGTTTGGAACGGCCTGAGGGTGTGCGCGTCGGTGTCGTGGCTCGAGACGACTGTGCGGTGACGTCGAGGGAGGGGTGCTTCAAGCCCAGCAAGAGCGAGGGCGGAACCGGCGTCGTGGCAGCACTGCGAGATCGAACCGAGCCGGGATGCGGGCTTCGGATGGCCGAGGCCTTTTTGGATCTCTGGTGAAGAACCGTCAAGAGCTCTGCGGCAGCAGTGTTGACATTGGCATCACTGGGCAAGCCATGCTGCGGGATGCTCGACAAGGCTTCGGAGGCGAGCTGGAGCGTGCTGATTGTCGAAGTCGGCTGCGGCGTTTGAGCGCTTGGGGTCGACTGTTGCGAGGCAACAGCGGTGGAGAGCGCCAGAGAGATGCTTCCTTTTCCCGGGGTCGGTTCGTCTGCGGATTCGGCCCCAACGTAGATCTGTGATGGCGCATCGCTCTGCATCTCGCTAAGCGCTTCCGAAGCCGGCTGGGATGGCGGTGCGGCGTCTTGCGCAAACGATGCTGCCGTCAAGGACGGCGATGCAGCTTGTCCCGCACCTCCATTCTGGTCTGTCGCCGACGGCTTCGACAGCGTGTCTGATGAGGAAGACGCTTCGGTGGATGCTGTCAAGCCGGTGTGCGACTCGGCACCCGATTCCAAATGATCGACAGTTTGCGAAGCAGCCGCAGCACGAGAGAGCGGAGAAGGGAGTGTGGTGTGGTTGGTGGCCGGTGCGATTGCATCGGTTAGCGGATCGGATGTGGACGCGTTCGATCGGAGATCGGATTTTGCGAGGTCGACGCCATCGGACGCACCACCACCTGCGAGGCGTGGCGACGACGGAGTAATATTGACCGAAATGGAATTTTGGTGGAGCGGGGCGAGATCGGAATTTTGGAGTGCATCGTCGGACGGATTCGAACAGGCACCTGCGGAGTGTGTCTCGGCGGCGGCAGCGGCTGAGAATGGGCTGCGGGCACGAGGGATTTGGAAATTGGACGCGTCGCAGGAATCAGGACGAGCGGCTGCAGCCGAGGCAGCCGAGCTGCGGTCCAGGACGCTGGATTCGGCCGGAGCAGCCGGGGCAGGAGCACCAGCGGCAGGAGCGGATGACGAGGCGGAAGGATCAGAGATCGGGGCGG